TTAACTTGAAATTCATTTAATAAAAACAGCACCCAAAAGCGTTAATAGAAATAAATTAAAATAAATAATATTAAATTAAAAAGCAATATTCAAAAATTAAAGAAAAACCCAATGTTAGTTTGAAATAAAATTAACATTTGCATTGATATTTTATTTGCTAATAAAAATATTTATTTTGTTTCGGTTTTGTTTTTTAACCTCAATATAGCATTTCAGATTTAAATGTTAAATACAAACATTTCTGTATAAGACTTAATGCTAAACATAATTTAATAATATAAATATCGGTTAGTCAAAAATAGTTTAGTTTTTATACTAAAAATAGTAAACTAATTTACATAATATTGTGTTCGATATTATTTGGTTTTAATATTAATATTTTATTTTTTTTTTTTTTGGTTATAACTTATATAAAATATATTTATATATATATATTAAATAACAAAATATCAATTTAATATTAATAAACTAACACCAATAAACACGGTGCATAAATCCGTTTGCTGTGACTGTGTGTGTATATGAATGTGTTTGTGTGTGTTTGTATTTATATATATAAATGTTTGTTTTAATTAAACTCTTATTATTTTATAACATTATCAATAGTTTTAATTTTAATATTGTCATTTGATTTTAATTTTTTCTTTCACTAAAGCCAGTATAAAATAAAAAAGTTAACAGTAATAACAATAGAAAGATGAATATTTTAATTTTTTTTTAATTTTAATTTTAGTCTTTGCAAATATAAATTTGTGAATATTCAAAATATAAATATGCTTGATTACAAATACAAGTATTGCTGGTGCAATGGTGCCTTTCAACAAGGTGTCGAGAAAGAGAGTAGAAGTAAGAGATTCTATTACTAACAATTCATAAAATAATAATATATTTAATTTTAATTTAATTGTAATTGAATTTTAATTGAATTTACTTTAATTGTTATAATTTTACATTTACTTAATGCTAGAAGCAAATTTTAGTCTCAGTTTTTGGAATTTTATTGATTTTGTAAAATGTTTCGTGTGGATACAAATTAGTATAAATTCCTGTATATAAAAATGTTATTTGATATAAAAATTTGCATTAGATTTGTTAAGAGAGGATACTTTTTAAAAAATTTTGTTCTTGCTATTAATAAATATAATTTTAAAAGTATAGTTAGTGACTTAAAACTATAAAAAGTGTAAAAAATATAAAAAGAGATTAGCTTCTAAATACTGCTTCGATTTCTTCAAGTGGGTTCCTGGAAAGGGGAAAGGATAGTGTGTAAGTGTGTAAAAAATGCTAATAGTGACTAAAGCGTGATTATTAAAAAAAATTAAGTATATTAATTAGAGATTGATAATTATATATTTAAGAAATGCAAATCAAACTACATGTGAAAGTATTTTTAATATTTATTTGCCAATATTTTTAAGTTGAAGAAATAAAACCCATTAATACATAACTAAATTTTTGCTTCTTTTTCAAGTCGTAGATACACTTTAAAATATACAGAATTGTGTTATTATAAAAATTTAATCTGTTTTATATTTACATAGAATAATATTCAATAATTATATATTAAACTTGCATATTAATTCTTAATGGTTGAAGCCGAAAAAGGCACAGAAGTAAAAACGACTGGAAAGACCTTAAATATATTAAACTGATAGGAAAACCACTAATTAATTACGTTGCTTTTGTTCCCCTTTCTTTGTGGTTGAGAAAAATACTAGATAAATAGTAGTTTTAGCTGAGAAATAAATTGGTGAACATTGGTGAATCATCGTTCTAAGCATCCATAACTGATGAATTATTTCGTTAGGAGATTTAAAATATTAAACAGTCAATATACAATATAAAAATATTAAATGACAGTAAATTCAATTGAATGAAAGAAAGACAATAATTATAATAATATAAAAATAGTTCAAAAAATATTTTAAAAAATATTTAAAAAAATAAATTTAAAAATATTAATTAAGTGTAGTTTGGGTTTACAACACATCAATATTTCTTTTGCCTTTAGTTTGTCATAAAAATTCTTAAGTAGATATTTTTGATATATAAAATCACCAAAACTAAGGTAAATTTTTTTTTTGAATGCAAGTATTAATTTACATTAGAAATATTAAAAAGAAAAAAAATCACCCATGTATTGTATGAATAACTATATATAGATATTAATTAATATTATTAAAATAAAAGAAAAACAAAAGTTAATTTAAAAGCAACAATATCTATTCAGGGTCAATATTTTGTTCGGGGTATTGTTATTTAGATTTTATATAATTTGCATATTCATTTTGTGATGCCAATGTTCGCTACAAAATATTATGATAAAAAATTAATTTATGCATTTTTTGAATTTTTTTATTATAACATAAAAAGAAATAAACTAACAATTGTTTTAATATTTAATATTTAACGCATTAACAAGGTTAACTATAAATTTAGTACCAATAAAATAATCATAATCAATCTATTAAAATATTGAAAACTAATATACAAATATATTTTGTATTTTATTACAAAAAAACTATGTTTTTTATTTAATATTAAATAAATATACTTGCATATGAACTATACCTGTAAAACAATTTGCAGTATAATTTTAAACTTGAATAGTTATATGTGCTGTATATTAACTCTTAATATCCATAGAACTCAATCAACACAACTATTTATATTTTATATTTAAATTTTAAACTCATTTATGTATGATTGAACTCGCTAAAACCACCTCTTAGGAATGAAAGGAAAAGATTTCCACTGCATTGAGGAAACTTCCGGTAATTCCGGTAATTAATGGAGAGATGAGAACATATAGGCTTAATACATAGCTAGCTAGGATCATCTAAGCTAGTATGTATGACGAAAGAAAAGAATTTTACTTATAAAAAGGGTTTTTAATAAAAGGGAATTACAACAACAAGCATTGTTTCGAATATTTACATGCGGACTTATAAACCACACAATAATTCCTAACACCACTGATAATGAGTATTTAACAAAACTCGAAACAGCCGTGTGGTCAACCAACATTAGCTTAGGATGTAAATATATGAGTATGCGTTCGATACCTAACAGAACCTATTAGTGGTGATGAAGCGATATCTGACACCACTAGTGATGGATATTTGGCAATACCGAAAAAAGCTATATGATCAGTTGTGATACCTTTGTTAGGCATTTGCGTTCGATACCAAGCAAAGTTAGGTATAAAACAAAGTTCAATACAAAACAGAGTTCGATATCTAATAAGAGTGAAGAAGGATATTTGGTATTTGGTAGCAGTTGCATGATCCGCTATTTAACTTGAATTTAATGTATGGATTTGTAATTTTCTCAGCAGCATCTCCTTTTTTATTTAATAGATTTCTAGTCCTCAAAAGGATACTTTTGTCATAGTTACCGAAATATTATTAGCTGTAGAAGAAAAATTAATATTGTACTTATGCATTTATATTTTAAATATTTATATACATCATAGCAGTAAGGCTTGGCATCGAATCGAGTCAGATGGTAAAAATTGGTTGAGGAAGCATTGGTCCACCCAAGACTGTTATGTTAAAAAAAGTAATAATAATGATAATAATGCTACTTCTGCATTATCATTTCATTTTAAGTTTTTATATTGTCAAGAAATTATTATATACATAAAGCTTACAGCTGTGTCAATTTTTCCACCTGGCGGAGGTTCAGATTAGTACTTGTGATATTTTAATATATAATAATATGATATAATAGTATGTCTATATCTTTAAAATTTTAATTCCAATAATTGTTCATTTATAAAAATTTCTCCGTAGTCTAACGGGTTTTTTAATAAGTCCAATTATTAATTTCCAGTATATATACCCAGTTATAGCATTGCTCTTCGAAGTTATAATAATTTAATAAAATTTATTTATTTAAATTCGTTGTTTTTTATTGAAAATCAAGCATATTATTAAAAAAAATAAGAAGAGGTATATAATATTGAAGAAACTAAAGGTGTATATAATATTGTTTAATTAACTAAATTTTTTTTTTAATTTCTCATATTATTCAACATTTTCAACAATAACTTATATTTTTATGCAAAATTGAGTACATTTTGAAAGCATTTTAAGAACAAAAATCAATAAGACTATTATTTAATATTTTCATTTATAATTTGTTCATGACGACTATTAATATTTTTTTGTTTTATTTAACAATAATGAATATTTTTCTGTGATTTATTTAAAGTATGCCAAGAACTTTTTAATAATAATGACTTATGTAAAAGACTTAAGGTGCTCATTAAATTTTCATAAAAATAGCATTTATTTATATTCTTGCGTAGGTCAACCACTAATAAAAAAAATATAATTGTATTTCGTTATTTGTTACCATAAATTTGAGTCTTTCATTTCGGTTTGTTTATATTTTTATAATAATATGTATATTTTTGTGCGTGGGAACTATAAATTAAACACCCTACGGACAACCAGAAAAATGAAAACAGAGCTTATTTATTATTAAAAACAAAATAAATAAAGGAAAAAAAAGTATAATAAATACCATCTTATGCCCACGGACATACTGGTAAAATTTGAACATATCGGACAAATATTGAAATCCTTATCAAATTTAAATATTTAAACTGGATAAAAAAATGTGTTAGTATTATATAAAACTAATTAAAAATTACAAACTGAACTTACTAAATATCAATGGGAAACTTATTTAATACATTCTAAGAATTTTATTATCTAAATAAAATTTTAAATAATCAATATTTTTTGCCAGCTTCAAAATAAGTCTTCTCAAGTACAATAGAACTATATCAGCACTCGAATCAATCCTACTCACATTTTTCGTATATATATGTATACTAATTCATGGCTTTTATATATTTTAGAGATATGTAATGCAGACAGTCATTTGACGAATAGTTTAATGTTTTTTAAGCTCCTTTTAGTTGGAGCTTTTATAGTCGTGTTATGCAAACAGTCAAATCACAATTGAAAACTTTATACTGTTTTTGTTATTTTATTACATTTTGGTTGCTTTCTGCACACAACCACGAAGCTATGTTATGCAAGCAGCCAAATCACAATTGTCAATGCTATACTACTACTAACATTTTGATTGAAAAAGTAATATATTATATGGATGTGTGATAATTTTTATACATATACATATTGTCCACTATATTATTAGTGGACAATAATATTTTGAGTACCGTGACGAGGCTCTGAAAACCTCACCACATGAAAATCAAGGTGCAACTGAAGTTTCCCTCTTGCTCTCATTATCATTATTTGATTTATATTGTGCACAACAACAATATCACATATTATGATGTAGCCATGAGAGTCTGCATAACATATCAATGAAGAGATTGTAACTGGAATCGAAATCGGTTGAAATTGTTTTACATATGATCATATCACAATCGGTTACTGAAAAAAGTCACACAAGATTATGTGAAATGAGTATCATTTGGTGAATTATATTAAGTTTTTAACCACAAATGTAAGAGAATTATAGCTTTTTGCGATCGCAACACACTTAAGAGTATAATGGCAAAAACGCTGAGGTGCATGTTATGATTGCAGTCATGTCACGGCAATTGTTATTGCTTTCAATGCGAAATGAAGTGAGCTGACAGTGTTAAATTTTTACTTTGCATTGAAAGTAACAACAATTGCCGTGACGTGACTGCAATCACAATATACTTCTAATGGAAACATACTAGGGAATATTGAGCTCAAATAATTTAGTAAAGTGTTATCAACTAACCATAAATTAATTCTGGAAGTATATTTATTACATAAAAATATATATTACAGATATTTTTTATATAAATGTATATGATATTTAAAAATTAAGTGTGTTTTTATATATTAATTTATTTTGAATAACTTAAATATAATTACTTAAAAATTCAAAGTTAAAATAAACTATTAACTTAAATTATTTTAATTTAATATATCATATTCACGCATATTTTAAAATATATTCAATGTAATATATGTGAGTAATTTAACACTTTAAATGCATTTACTGGAATTAATATTGAATGCACAATAAATATTCAATGCACTTAATAAACTACAGTTCAGTTAATGTTAAATTTAAAGTTATTTTAATTTTTTTTTTTGTTTTTTTTATTGAACGTAAAAAGAGTTTACTATTTATTTGTAATAAATGCTTATATTTTATTAATTAATATGTAAAATAAAGTATGCAGAGGCCAACACCTTAAATGCAAGCAACAGAGTATGAAACTGTATGATATGCATATTTTATATAAAAATATTAAATATGCTATAATTTAATTGTATTAAATCAATATTATAAAGCCATGTGAAAATTAAAAGAGAAAATCAACTATTTAAAGACTTTACTAGAATTTATGTACTATAAATACGATACTATATAAGATGAAATAGAAGCAAAAATTTATTTCCAACTTAAACCACAAAAGCACATTAAATCCAAGTTTTGATTTTATTGCAAATTATAATAATTTTAAAATTATTACAAAATTGCAAAGCACAAACACCAATAAAATTTATTTTCTATTTAGTAAAAAGCAGGTGTTTGTATAGATACATTTGTGTTACACAATAAATAATGTTTAGAGGCGTTTGTCGAATAAAATAAAATACTTTCACCATAGAAAAAAAAATGTTATAAATAAATGTGATAATATTTCTATATTTTAAAGTTTTTTTTTGTTGTAATGAATTATAAAATAAAATTAAAATTTACTAACCTCATATCATCTATTTCACATTTATTGTGATCGGCGATGGTATCACGTAATACGCTATCAACGTCTATATTGTCGACTTCATCATCATCATCGTCATCATCTTCAGTACGATCTGCATGCTCTTCATTACCAGTGCATTTAGCTGCATCCGCTTCATCATTTGTGGCATCATTTAAACTTCCACCGCTAAAATCAGCTAATCGTGCATTTTTATCACGACGAAGGGTTGCGATTTTCCTTTCTTCTTCCTGTTTCAACTTCTCGACTTCATCTTTTGACAGAAACGAGAAAACTTTTTCTATTAAGAAAATAAAAAATAAAGTAAGATAAAATTTAAAAAAGTCATTAAAATGTCCAGACTTAGAATGATAAATACAAAAATTTGCTTTGAAAAAAGTATAGCCATATATAAGGACATGAAAACGCGAACGCTAAGGAAGATATCCTTAAGCACAAGCAAAAGTACAAAATTAAATTAGGAAATAAATAAATAAAATCACAGTACAGAGTGAAGAAGACTAGTTTCTTTTTTCACTAGAATTAGAGTAATTTCTTAAGGCATAAGGAATATACACTGACTGCAGTAGCACAAAGTAGTCACTAACGCTAAGCCAGAGCATAAACAGCATAAACTTTCAAGTTTTTTATTTCATTAAAACGAAACTTAAAGGAAGCCAACATGGAAACTACCATGACTACCAATTCGTAGAGAACTAAGTGATACGCTGGCTATCAAACCGTACTGTACGCAAATATTATTGCAACTAAATTTGCGTCTTGCTGCTCTCCTCATCGACTTTGTGCGATTTAATGTTTATGGAGCAGCAAAGAAAGACTCTGGTAGAACCGTTTTCTATCGGAACTTTAAAATTCATAGTAGCAACGTTGTAATTACACAAACGATTCTTGTTTAGATTTATCTTTGCTAGGAATAAATAAAATTAAAATTTTAGCAAAACATTTGAAATAATTAAATTTTCTTAAAGTTAAAATGAGATGCATACTGTCAGAATCACTGAGTAATAACAAAATACGAAAGAGTGATTACAAAAAATGATTTGTAAAGTGAGGAAAAATAACCATTTTCAAGTTTTTATTCCATTATTAAATAGAAATATATTGAAATATTTATTTATAGAAAAGATACAAACATATTAAACAAGCGTTGGAATAAATGTATCACTCCACACAAGGAAGATACAGACTCGAGACTGATTCTCCTAAAAATTATTGACCGAGCGATATCTATTACTATATAATGGTAGGTAATGGATGGTTGGTGCACCATTTGGTAAACCATTAGGGCATTTTTTGTTAGTGATTTCAAAGTTAATAAAAAGTAGAAACTTTTGAAGCTATTGACAATATAGTACATACTTTGAAGACAAAAGTCGACTGAACAAGTTAAAGACATTAAAAGAAGCGTTGGAATAAATTTATCACTTCAAATAGGATACATGTATATATTTCATAACAGATTAAAAAAATCTGTTGTTTGAATTCCATGGTTATTATGAGTAGATAAAGTCAGACAGTGACAGTCATGGTAACGTCAAAGGTAAAGTTGGTGCTCTTAATGTATGCAGCGTATTACGGAATAGAGTCGAATTTTATATAAAAAGTTAGGTTCTATGTTAGAGTGTAATTATTAAGGCTCAATCTTGGTCTTAGTTACACCAAAATGTATATAAAAAATTTTTATTTTATTAACTAACTTATGAATTAACACATCACACAATAAGTTCGTAAGTTGCTAATAAAACAACAGTTAAGTTAAGAGTTAAGAAAAATGTTGGTGCAACTAAGATAAAGATGAGCTCTATTGATTTAACTCTAACATACATACAGACTTCAAAGTAAAACCAACAAATTTGTTATAATTCCATTTATGTACTATATAAAAAGAAGCTATTTCTTTTAAAGCAAAAATCTCTACCCTTAGCGTTAGTGTTGGTTAACTTAAAAAAAAATTTCAAAAGGTAAGAAGAAAATTAAACTTAAAATCTAGCATTAGTGCAAAAAATAAAAATTATTTATAGGCAGTTTCATGTAATCAATTCTTACCAGATTTTTGTGTTGGTTTATGTTGGTCCTCCATAGCTGATTCAAAGAAACGCTTTTTGTCAGATACCGATTTAGGCACTTTAATTGGTTCTGTAGGTGATAACTGTAAATATAAATTCTATTAATTATGCACAAAAGCTATGAGGTTTTGAAATTTGTAAAGTAATATGTAATAATCAAATATAAGGGTAATTAAGAAAATATACTAAAAAAAAAAAAATAAAACCAAATATATATAACATATTTATATTGAAATACTGTAGTTTACATTATTCTTTTTTGAGGCGGATTGCACTTAACAAATTGAAAAATTACAGTTAAGAAAGGAATATAAAAGAGAAAAAGAGAATCAACTTTTATTTACATAAATTAAAAAAATAAATATTTTAATAATTGAAATCACTTCTCGTATATGAAGTAATTTTATCTCTAAGTTTAAACACATAGCAAAGAATTTATCCAACACAACTGACTGCACAAACAGTACAACCAACAACTGCTGCAGCAACAGATTATTTATCACCAAAGTCATCTCCTGTCGGTTTTACAGGTTTGCAACCATTTTTTCTTGTCCTTCATTTCACGAAGGATGCAATGGAGTTGAGTGTAGCGAAATAAGAGTGTTACGAGTAGTTCCTATCGCATATCTGGCAAATACAACAGTGATAAAGTCGATAAAAAAAAAGCAACGAAACCAATTTTAAGTAACATTCACTACGTTCAATAGATCTAGCAGTGCCTGAACTTCAATACACATACTGACATACCAGCATACAGACGTACAGGCGTACAGGCGTACTGGCATAAGGTAAACTATTAGAGCCGGAAGAGAAATGTAATTTAAAATCTGCTTCCCATCACGTTAAAGCATTACATCATCAATAATTGGACACCTAAAACACATTTACTTGAGTGGAAACTGTACAAACTGCACAAATTGCCAACCAACAGCAACAAGGAATACTACAAAGTGCAGGCGAACAAGCAACAAATTCTCATAAAAGGGGATAAAAAGGAGTATGAGTGACTTCACAAGAAATTAATTTCATAGCGGATTTTACTTTTTCAATTAAAAATGATACAATGCAGTTGAGATACTTCTTCAATAGAAATTTAATCAAAATCAATTGTTAGCAATAATTACAAGCCGGAATTGAATTGCAACTAAGATTTAATGTTAATAATCAACCAAAAGAAAACATGAGTTTCAGAATTAGTAGTAAATAATTAAATATATGTATATAATAAAAATATTAAACTATTATAAATCTTTACTTAAGTAAATAAATATTACATTTTAAGTGTTTTTAATAAAATACAACCAAAATTTAACCAAAAAAAATAACTTAAGTTTTAGAAGTATTAAATTAAAATATTACAAATGCTTATTTATCTTATATTTTTACTTAAATAAATAAATATAACATTTTAAGTGTTATCAATAAAATAAATATTTAACCAAAAAAAAACTTAAGTTTTATAAGTAGTATAAAATAATTAAATTAAAATATTACAATTGATTATTTATCCTTTATTGTCACTTAAATAAATAAATATTACGAATTAATTTATAGTTTATAGTTAATTTATAAACTAACTAAAATTTATGTTGTTGTCATTTCATTTTCATTCGAACTCTTCTAATCTTAAATCGTCATAAAAAGCGTCATTCTCGGCACAAAAAAAAAATTAAAATTAAAAAAATAAATATTACCTTTTATGTGTCTTTAATAAAATAAATAAAATTATATAAACAAAATTATATAAACAAAATTATAAAAACAAATTTACATAGATAAAATTAAACAAAATATACAGGATAATATATGGAGAATCATAAACATATTATATTATAAAGTTATAAATAATAATAAATTAGCAGTGCGCCATCTATTCATCAGTAGTAAAACTTAAACTTCGAGGTTATTTTAATATTTTATTTTCGTTAGAACATAACTAAAATTTGATTTTAAACTGTCTATTAATTATTTTTGGACATTCTATTTAAAATTGACATATTAGTGTCAACAGCACATTTTTCCTCAAGTATATGATTAATAATAAATAAATTTGTACGTTTTTGTAGAAAAAAGGAGTAAGTAGCTCATTTAAAAAGTCGATTAAGGGAAAACGGTTACTGAAAGAAGGGAATTCTGTTGATATTGATTACAAGATAATAAAGAAATGATATACGAAAAATTAAGTAAACAAAATTTTGTTTCAAATTTGCACAAAAATAAGGTTTTTTGCAATAAAAAACACAAATGGAGTTTTCGCAAATCGAACAAAAATATTACAATCAACTTCAAACCTTCATATTTTGCATTTTATTTGAAAAATATAACTAATTACACATTAAATTAAAGTATTTTTGAATAACTAAATTTATTTACGGTTAGCTGAGTGCAGGAGATAATCACCAGATACTTCTATCTTAAGTATAAGTAAAAACTAGAATATATGATACATAAAACTAGGTTTATTCTCAAGCTACTATTAATATAACTGAAGACAATTGTATGGACCATGTTCGAGACATGAGAATGTTTGTCAGAAGGTTTTTTGAATTGTTGGAATTACAGATAAGTTGCCAAATTATTTTTACAAACAAAAGCACAATATTAGATAAATAAAAGGCTGATAAAGTTAATTCTCACTTTTGGATTAAAAACTTTAAAAGAATGATTATTATTCTTAACAAATATTCATTCAATGGTGGAGAGAGATTTTAACGCTAACAGTCTAATATGATATTTAAACTTAGACATATTGAACCCCTTTAGCATATTATTGTATGGATTTTGTATGGAAATTTTGTAAATGGAATATATTGTTGCTTATTAAATACAATAGTTAAATTCAATAGTCTAAACAATGCATTAAAAGAATTAGATTATTCTGATCAATATTACTTAAACAAGACAATAATACAAATATTAATAAATTGACTAATAATGTAATTTATTTTACTTTTAAGAGAATAATTATAATATTCATTGTGTTTCCATCAAAATTAAAATAATTGTCAATAAATTATTACAATCATGAACTCCAAATATATTAAAGATAATACAAAATAAAATTTAATTATATTAATTCATTAATATAACTAACTGCAACACCTTTGAATAAAATATGTAATTCTTTTATATAAACAGATTTTGTTATATACAAAGATGTTTTAGTAAAAAAAAATTATTTCTTTT